GATTCCAAGAAAGACTGCTGACGGAATCCGTGAAGAGGAGAAGGAGCATCTGAACGAGCGGAAGATGCCAACGAGCGACACTCCCCTCAGCAGAGGTGTTGGAGCCTTGACTGGCTGATAGAGGGCGATTGCCGTCGGGTGACGGAGCAAGTAACGGAGCGGGTGATAGAGCGGGGGCAGGCAGAACCGCCGTATCTTTATCACGGTTTTCCCAGGCCACCGAATGGCAACGCTGCATATGCTGACGCAACGCTGTAGTCCCAACATGGGCCCCCTGGCCACGCTTGACTTTCTGCCCACGTAGTCTACATACGGCTACGTTTACTTCCTCGGGCGGCTTGACGAAAAATTGCCACACCGCCGAGTAGAAAACTTTGCCCCCGCTACTCCTCACTGGCTGACTGCTACTTCCTCCGTGCACACCGGCACCACTACTGGCCGTGGTGGTAGGCTGCAGTGGAGCTGGTGCTCTACTCCGTGGCCGTTTGCCTCCACTGACACTGCTGCGACCCTGCTGCCTCCTGGGCAACCCACCAACTGTTTTGCTCGCTGCCAAGCTGGCACCCTCTTCTCCTGATGATGCGGAAGCAATAGCCTGATGACAACGAGGCTGCCAAGTGCGATCAGCCTCATCAATTAGGGTCTCCGCCTCACTACTAGCCCCCTCGGCTGCGTGTGGGTCAGGAAACAGACCTGTCTCTAGACCGGCTACCGAGCCACTCTCCTCGCCAGTACTTCTTCGCCTGGCTGCTGAAGAGGCGGATGTCTCCCCCCGTTCCTGACCGCCCTCTGTTAGCTCTTCCTCACTGTACAGTGGGGCTGAGCCCACAGCATGCGATACTTCGCTTGGTGAGGGAACACCAAAGGACAGGGGCAGGTAGAGGACACGTGATTTCAGTGGGCTTGCTCCCGGGCCATGCCAACTAACGGTTGTGTCTGACGTACCCACCGACCGTTGGCTGTAGGTGTCAGAGGTGACCTGGGAAGAGGAAGACGACCGAGCCAACCAATCGATGACGGCAGGGTTGTTGGTGGAGACACGACCGCTGGATGACACCGGGAGCACTGGCCTCTGGCTGCAACTAGTGCTGCCTCGACCCCTTCCTCTGCTGCCACGTCTGCTCGCTCCTAAAACATGGCCTCCTCTGACACTCTGACACTGCGTGTTGTCTGACATACTCTTTAATTCAACGATTCTGTGGCCCTGAGTAACCGTTCTGTGGCCCTGAGTAACCGTTCTGTGGCCCTGACTCTGTCTCTAATACAGAGACGTCTGTCTCTCTTGAATGACCGGAGGCAAATGGAGAATTGTAAGATGGCCACAATTTATAGCTCCACCATTACACAGTGCTGGCTGGCTGCTGATTGGCTAATGCAATCACGTCATGAATGAATGCATTATGGGTCAGCGCGCCTTCCCAGAGATCCCCGCTCCATCGCCCCACATGTCGCCGCCATTTTTGGAAAAATTTCGATTCGCGCATCCGAAGTATGCTAAATTTTCGGATTCGGCACGAATCAAATTTTTCCAATATTCGAAACAAATTCCACTTCGCCAAGTTCGATTCGCTCATCTCTAGTGTTTTCATATTATTTCTCAGCAAAATAGAGCATTGAGACCATGAATGGATGAGCAGAGTTTGCTTTGAATATTGAAACTTGCATTTTTGGTTTGTGATGCTCAGATACAGTGTAGTTCCACTTTAAGTATGAAAGTACACATCTTCTAACCTGATATTTACTACATTTATTACGCCAGGTTCACATTTATCAAATGTAATAGAATGCTTCAATGTATTTTGCTCACCAATGTAACAGGGCATTCTTCCTTCCACTGACAACCAATGTAAAAGAGTGTATCCTGACCACTCTGTACAGGTCATACCTTAGGAGCAGAGGTCTCCAAACTGCAGCCTGAGGGCCAGAGATGTGGCTCTTTGCTCTTTTTATCCAGCCCTTGGGGCACTATTCCTGCCACTGAGACCAACAATGGGGCAATACTTCTTCCACTGAACCAATGGCAAGGCACTATTCCTGCCACTGATACCAAGGATGGGCACTACTCCTACTGACCATCAATCCTGTGGCCATGCTTATTCTCACCGACACCAGGAATTTTTCTATTGTTGCAGGCCCTAATCCACCCCTCCAAAAGTCTAAAAGGACATTATACTGGCCCTTTGTGTCAGGCAGATGTTGCCAAACTTCTCAGACATGCTGTGCCGTTTTACAGAATGCTGAAAATTGCACTGTCTGGACTGTTTATGCCATTTATATTTCAAACATTGTTTTATTAGCAAGATCATTTTGTATTAAAAAAAAAAAAATGGGACACCCATGCTAAGTGTGAAACATACATCATATGCCATTGGGTGTATTTATAGGTAGGAGAGCCCTGAGAAACCTTGTTTTGCCTCAGGATTCTCCAAGCAAAAGGCTGAGAAAGATAAGCTTACATGTTGCTTTCAGGAATGCCTTGCCAACAAGCCCACCCATTCAAAGCACTTGGAAGTGTTGCTTACTAACATTTGAAAATTATTACTAAACCTAGGACCCTGTCTTCATTATATCTGGTCTCCCACCGTACACAACATGGAAATGCAATTATTTTGGTAAATATAAACTGCTAAATACCTTTTCTAATCAGCAGTATATAGCAGTTGTGTGACTTCTATCAGTGCTCAGCTGCACACTGGTTGAAGATGGGAGTTTTCTTTCTGCTCTAGGAGGATGCAAAACCCCTGACCTCTATCTGGCCAGTGCTGATCATATGCACTCTCCAAAGCAAAAAAAAAAAACCCCTCTCAAGCAACACATTAACTGAGCATGTGCGGAAGGGCTACAGATTCAGTCTGTCTTATCAGCGTGGACATTTGACAAGAGAAGTGGCAGAGAAGACAGGATCAAACAGCCTTTTTACACAATGCAGAGTATTAACCCCCCAAGGTTCCACAGTAAGTAACAAGCATGCCTTACTGCATATACAGTGATTTTACTGTTGTGGGTTTAGTAACACTTTAACCTAAGGCAGCGAGACTTCAAAGATCACCTGTAATCATTTAAAAAACAGAGCTCTAGGCACACAAAATGCATTTAAAATATATACAATTGCCAAAAAGGGTATACATGCACTTTGCATACACCATGTTTTGCATACCCAGATATGTTGCAGAAGGTAGCAGCAACATAACAGTGCTCGTCAGTGCATAGTCAGTGCAGACAGGGGCTCGGCGTAGAAATCAGTATGTCTAACCGAATAAAATGGGCAAATACAAGACCAGTCCTTCCTGCTTTCATTCCTTGAGCATGGTACTGGTCTTTTATTATAGGAAGCTTCTGAACAAAGGCAAAATGCAGGAATTGCATCATGCAAATTACATCAACCTGGGGGAAAAAAAAAAAAACCCCACACACACAACCAACATAGAGGTTTATTTACTAAAGCTTGTTCACTCAATTTGGTGCAGTAGTGCATGGTAGCCAATCAGCTTCTAACCTCAGCTTGACCAATTAAGCTTTAGCAATCAAACATTAAAGCGGATTGGTTTCTTTGCAGAAGTACACAAAATTGAGTGAACCAGCTTTAGCAAGTAAACCCCACCATAGTCACCATTTCCAAAACTGGGTATATGCAGATTTTTCAATTCAACCATTATGATGAAATGGGGGGGGGGTTGGACACACACCTGACAGATTTCTCCCCCCCCCCCCCCCCCCCCAACACACTAAAAACATTGTGGATGTAGGGATAATCTCCCACTGAGGCAATGGGGAAGTACTACTGAATCTGTAGTGTGCAAAATCTGGTGCAGCCCTTTATGTTCAGCAAAATAAAAAATCCTGTTTGCTGCATCTTTCATCAAAATGCTCATCACATAAGCTAACTGCATGTAAGAACACATACTTAAAATGCAAAAAGTGCAAACTGAGCTTAAAAGCGTTCCACTTGAGAAAAAAAAAAAAAAAAGCAGCAGCTACAGTTTGTTTTTCATATACAGCCACTTACCTGTCCCTCTGTCCAGCAGTGTCCTGACCACCACTGGTTTCACCAGCTGTCTTCTCTCCCCGGTGCCGGCATCTTCAGTGTGGACAACCAGCTGTGACAACTTGCAGCTTCACAGCCACAGCCGGTGCCAATCCTTTTAATGGTGAGCAGGGGACAAAGCTTAAAGCAAAACTTCCCCTTTTGGGTGGAACTCCACTTTAGAAAAGGTAAAGTTCACTTTTCAAAGCATGTTATAAGTCACACCCATACTTAGCCTGCCTGCCAAAAGCATGACTAACATCCAACTATGCTGTGCGACTTACTGCAGGAACCCTTTTTAAAAATTGCTTTGACTTAAGTTACAGCTGTTTAAAAACAGGGCCATAGACAAACACTGGATGAGATTCAAAGCAGTAAGTCGCATGACAAGTCACATTGGTGTGAACCAGGGCTTAGGGTAAAGCATGCTTCAGCACCTGTCTCCTCATTCTGGCAGATCCTCAGAGGTGTTGTCATGGAGGATGTATGAAAAAAAATCACTTTAAAAATGTTATTTTTGTACTAAAACAAAAAAATATTAATACCCTGAAAATCGAAATATGATGGAGACAATGAAATATTAATACACTGAAAACCCAAATATGATGGAGACAAAAAAAAAAACAAGAAACACTATAATAAACAAGGCGTTTTATACATCTTAAGTACTTCCATGAAAAATCCACAAAGCCGAGACAGGCATCTGAACAGTAAAATTCTATTTTCTTGAGATAAGAAAGGAATAAAACAGGATTAAGGATTCACATAACATGTAACTGTTTCTCACACATCCAGGTACAAAAAAAAAAAGCAGGCACATTTTGAGGTACAGTCTTCGAAACACAAGGTGTGCTCGCCAGAGAGGTGACTATGAAACCACAAGGGTTTCTGAAGCAACCGTTTGGGATCATGAGGAAAAGCACATGGATAGTGACTGATCTCTCCGCTAGGTCGTCTGTCTCTTTGTAGTTGGTGCTCAATATCTGTAATGGTCAGGTTTGAAGGGTCCTTCCTTCTCTAAGCCAAGGTACTTTGCTTGCTTGTCTGAAAGCTTAGTCAGTTTCACTCCAAGCTTATCAAGATGGGCAGCTGCCACGGCTTCATCAAGCTGCAGAAAGTAACAATGAGGATAAACAATAAGAGTTTGTAAAAAGGGGGGGAACCATATACACAAAGTACACAGTAAGACATAATGCCAATTTGTGCCTTAAGTTTCCTCCATGAGGATCCAAACAGTAACAGTACTTCTGTATCAGGCCAACAACCCTAAGCCATTGGCAGCACTGTAGCCAGCTGTGCACACCCCTTCAGTCCTGTTTTTATTGCAAATGCAGTTTTTTTATATTCCCCCCCCCCCCCCCCCCCCCACTCTACATTTATTCCTGAACTATACAAGTGGAGGGACTGGAATCAAACACTTGCAAGTGTGCATGATCTAATACAGCAATAGGTTTCCTTTTTTTCTATTTTTTTTATGATCAAACAATTGTAAGAACTTCTGGTAGTGCTATAGTTTGTCCAACCCACATTTGCTGCAAGACATGTAAATTTGGGGGAAATAAGGAGTATGAATGCATACATTCCTAGTTCTCAGACCAAGCTGCCAATCTAATTTGTAAGCATTATAGTCAAGTATATGTAAACTCCCACCTTGTAAAATCACCCATAAAAAAAAAAAAAAAAAAAAAAAGTCTACATAAAAATAAAAAAAAAAACAAAAAGCACACACTATAAAATAACTCCCTCCAAACACATAAAATAACTCCGCCCACCCCATTTTTATAAGTGATCAAATTCTCCTGTTCTCAGCTGCATAAGAGCTGGGGGGGGGGGGGGAGAAGGTAGAAACAGCAGGATAATGGAAAAGTATGATCGTTGGAGAGCAGGAAGAATGCCAGCACAGCTAGAAAACTGACCACGCTGTGCTCATGTGGTTAGTTGTTGATAGGAAAGCAGAGGGACTGGCAGGAACACCAGGGATTTCACAGAAAAAAAAAAGGAAGCAATACAAAAAGAACAGGATACTTGCATACAAGTACATGGTACAGCAGACATCAGGAATAATAAAATGCAGAGTTTACATATTCAACAAACAGTGCCAAAATTTGTTTTAAAGAATATGTAAACCCAACATTTCATATTCCTGATATTCCTCAAATTTTACTAAGAAATTTGTGGGACAAAAAAAAAAAAAAAAAAACCCCACACTTTTGGACTGTCCAACGATGCAAGTCAAAAAAGTTAAATGAAGTCCAGTAGACCAAGAGATTGGGGGGAATCTACTAAAAAAACTGGAGCAGTTGTCCAATTAGGTTCCATCTGCAGTTTGTGAAGTTAAACTTTGTGCATAGTAACTAATCAGCTTCTAGCTTTCATTTTCAGCTAGTGCAGATTCTGGCTGCTCCAGTAATTCCCCTCATTGTACCTCATTTAGCAGATCACTTTGAAGGGCCTATGGTAGCCGAAGACTTCAGTCTATGTAAAGATGACTTGCATATAGAGAGAACTACTGAAGGAGGACTGATTTTTGTTGCATTAGCATATCATAAGTAAAACAAAATTTGCTACTGAATACTAATATGGGCAGATCAGTCCCCTTGAGTAGAAGTGTGGTTTTAAAAAGACTTGCAAAATAACATGAACTATGGACCTAATTTACAACGTAGTGGATGATTTGAAAGCTGTAGCAAACCAAAAAGTGGTTATTTTTGTGAGGTCCTATTGCAGCAATAAATGCTTTGCACGTTAAACAGTTAACCCTTTGAGGACCAAGGGACGTATTTGTCCCATGTTTTTAATTGCGTGAATCATCCGATTAAGAACTTAAAATTTTTTTTTTTTGGTTTGAGTCAAAATATTAGTTCTTATTAACAAATGGATCTAGCTTTTTGCCAATTATTTCATGAAATGGCTTAGTTACAGCAACTGAAGTGTACGAACTTTAAAAACAAAAAAATTGATTCTTTTGGCGTTCCAAAATCTTACGGTCCTCAAAGGGTTAATGGGAACTGAAAAAAAAAAAAAAAAAAAAGGTGTGCAAAGAATGGAGCCCAGGATCAGGCTTTAATGCAATATATATATATATATATATATATATATATATGGCAAAGCATGCATTAACATGTCTGCAAAACACACTGCAACAGACCAATTTTGGAGGCCAACCCCGTTTTCACACAACGGGTCATCCTTGCTCCATTCCAATTTTTTTTTTCACCACCTTTTTCTACAGCACACGTTTATGTTGCTTTTTTTGTGCTCTCATTTAGACCATTACAAAAGGTTGTATAACATTTCTCGAGCAATGATTCATGCAATTTCCCCATTTCTCTTTGAACCCGCCAGGATCCAGCTGCTGTTGCACAAGACCATTCTAAGCCTTCTAGACTGCTTAGATTTCTCTTGGCGGCAACACAAAGACCATTTAAAAACCTGATGGGGTGTCAACAATTACATCACTATGAGCTTCAACACAACACACAATTATGTGCGACACAACAAGCACTGAGGCACTGCATCAATATTAAGGACAGCAGTTTCCACCACAACCTGTTCGCACACCATTTCCAATTTCTTGCTTCCCCTTCATTTTTACAACACACAATCATTACATTGCTTTTATGTGCTCTTGTTTAGATCATTAAAAAAGGTTTTAGGACATTTCGCAAGCAAAGATTCAGGCAATTTCCTATGTTTCTTTGAAACCTGCAGATCCTGCTGATGTTGCATAAGACCGTCCTAGGCATTATAGACTGCTTAGCCCAACCTTGGCGGCAATACAAAGAAGCCATTTAAAAAGTTGGTGGGGAGTCAGCAATTAAGTGGCTATAAAAAAGGAGGTTGAAATATTAAAATTCCCATCAGCCATAGCAAATATCGAAGCAAAAGCATTAGCTCACAGAATAAAAAACAGCACTTGCCAGTGTAAAGCTCTGCCACCTTTAGCTTTAGAAAATTTACAAGTTGGCCACTAATTGCCAAGGCATGCCCCATTACAAGGTCCGGCTAGGTAGTTATAGGCTCCCTGATGGGAACAGCGACATATGATCATTTAAGTCTGCTGTGTAATTCAAGAATAATTGAAACCAGCGTTGTGTCACCTCATAGGTTTTACAGCCATTATCACACCTTTGGCATAGTTATACCTTGTACCAATAATGAGGTGTTGGTTTGTGGCCTATGGCTAAAAGGTGTTCCTCTTACATCAAGTGCTGAGCTCCTCGTACCACACAATCAGATTTGGAGCCTTTAAACTTACAACAAAAAAGATAATAATTTTACAGGCAATTGTGCAGTTGTATTGTTAACTATGCAGAGCAAGGAAAGTTAGCAAATTCAATCAATGGTCAACCAGAAGAGCCTTACACTACATAGTAGTTGACCCTTGCGCAACCAGATTTTAATCTGTATGGCCAACTTTAGACCTATTATCTATTGCAAGTATCTACCCAACTGAACGTAATGCATTGCAGAGATGTGGGGCGGGGGGGAACCCACAAACACCAAACCTGGAAGATTACTGGTTTCTATGTAGAGTTGCAGTTTTAGTAAAAAACCGCCATGTGTTATTCTGTTCTCCTTAGACAGCCCACGTGTAGGTGCAGAATGGGAACGAAGTATACAGAACAGTACTATTGAACCACTTAGTCTCCGGAAGGTTTTACCCCCTTCATGACTAAGCCATTTTTACTACACTGCGCTACTTTAGCTGGTGACTGAGCAAGGAAAAAAAAAAAAAAAAAAAAAAAAAAAAAAAAAAAAAAAAAAACTGTACCCAGACAATATATAGTCTTGCAAAGAGTGCATCATGATCCACTTTATAAAAACCTAAAAATGCAATTGGCGCAAGAGAATTTGTAGTGGACATAACGTTCACTCAGCAAACCTTAAACAAAATAATCCAGAAACAGAAATTAAGAAAATCGTACATGCCAGTAAAAAAGGGAGCAACAAGTAGATGATGCAGCTTTAGTGGTGAGGAAAGGGAAGGGGGAGGGGAGGGGGGGAAAAAGGAGGCCGGGAAAAAGGGGAAAAAAGGCCTTGTGATCAAACAAAGGATTGAGATAGATGCTAAAAATATGTGGAATACATATATATACACACAACGGGAGCAATGTAGACACCGTCAAAAGGGAGCAGAACCGCTCAAAAAAAGGGAGCCGAGAACCGCTCAACAAGGGAGCCGAGTAAACCGGACTCTGGGAAATGGAGAAGAGAGAAGTGTGCCAGACTAAGTGCAGTATGAAATAAAAGTTTATTGCACACAAAATTATAAAAACTCAAAAGAAGTGGGAAGATAAAAGGCATCAAACCGCTATAAAAAGGATGTCATCTGTGCTGAGAACCTCACAAAAAAGGGATGGCTGTAATGTCAAGGTGTTGCACGGCTGGCGCTGTAGGCGGGTCCCAAAGGAGGGAGCGAGGATGGCAGGCGCAGTAAAAGGGAGGAGAGTCGCGCGCAGATAAGAACCGGGATCCAGGGCAGGCACTGCTGATCTCTCAAAAAGGGGAGCGGTGAACGCGTTTCAAGGCAACCTGCCTTTTCAAAAAGGGACCTCTGATGAAAAGGGAGGTTGCCTAGAAACGCTCAAACCGCCCCCTTGGAGGATTCCCTCAGCAACGGAGCTGATGTCAACCTGCTCCGGTGGGAGCTTGAGAACCGCTCAAAAAGGGAGCTGAATACCCACGGTTTCTGAGAACCGCTCAAAAAGGGAGCCGAGAACCGCTCAAAAAGGGAGCCGAGAACCACGCTCAAAAAGGTGAGCCCTGGATCCCGCTCTTATCTGCGCCGAGACTCCCGCTGGGCCTGCCATCCCGCTTCCTCCTGTGGAGCCCGCCTACAGCGCCAGCCGAAACACCTTGAAATTACAGCCATCCATTTGTGAGGTGCAGCACAGATGACATCCTCCTCCTTAAAATTGATGCCTGATATCTACCCACTTCTTGTGAGTTTTTATAGAACCGTGTGCAAAAAACTTTTATATTCATACTGCTCAAAAAGTCTGCCGCACTTCTCTTTCTTCTCCATGATCCACTTGATGTCTGTCAGCAAAACCTGGGAGTCCTGCAACCGCTAACTGGAGCCAGCACCAAGGAGGACACCTGAAAAGAGCCGAGAACCGCTCAAAAAGGGAGCCGAGAACCGCTCAAAAAGGGAGCCGAGCTCAAAAAGGGAGCCGAGAACCGCTCAAAAAGGGAGCCGAGAAGAACCGCTCAAAAAGGGAGCCGAGAACCGCTCAAAAAGGGAGCCGAGAACCGCTCAAAAAGGGAAATGCTAATAAATGATAATGTGCTCCCCCAGGGTAAATCATAGGAACCACTGATGTCCGTAACCCATGGGAATGTGCAGGTACACATACTATATGCCTATGGATGCTGGCAAACACCCACAGGAAGAGAGGCTACCACCGAACAGATGGATTCCAGCTTTAACCCTAATCCAGCAGATAACCTTGCTGGACCTTCAGGGTCACAATCAGGGAACCCTGTCTGTTGTTGGGACTGTGAACAGATATGAAGTAAAAATCTGCAGAGCCGGATCGGCTCAGACACAGGGACAGTTACTCCCTGGTAAAGCAGGTCCTACACTGAACTGCACTGTTCAGGGCCAGAAGACGTAAGGGCAGCAGACGACAGAGAGCATCTCTGGTGGCAAAAAAAAAAAAAAAAAAAAAAAAAAAAGGGCCAAGGAGCCAGAGGTCCCATTAGGGAACCAGTTCCTTACTCCTGAAACACTAGACAGAAATAACTGGACTGACTATAGCAGACAGGGAGTTTATATCAACTAGGCAGTGCCGAGTCCTTTTTATGCCTAGTGTTCTACTACTGTAGGTGGCAATATAACCCTATGCCCAAGATTCAGAAGAGCTGCGTCAGTCACTGAATGTAAGAGAAAGATTTGTTATCTCAAAACTTTTGGCCAGGGCTCTAATGTATGCCGCTTTTTTACTAAAGGTCTGCTTCTAATTCCACTTTGCAAGATTGTTTTCTCTGTACAGAGCCTGTGTTTGTTATAATAAATCGGTCCAATCACAGCCCACAGCTGTGCAAAACATATGCTTACCTGCTCTGTGCAGTGGTTTTGCATAGAACAGCTCCAATACTCCTATTCTCAGGTCATCCAACCTGCGCTCCTGGCCCCTTCCTTCTACCAGGTGCCTCCATAGTTCATCATGTGCTATGGGGGCACTTGTGCATGCTCGCTCCCGAGTCAGCTCTGTGTCTACTGACAGAGCTGGCTTGGCCCTGCCCGAGTCTCTCCTCACGGTGATTGACAGCAGCAGGAGTCAATGGCTCCTGCTGCCTCTGTCCAATGAGGAGCTATAGAGCCGAGAGAACCTCTGCTCTCATGCAGATCACTGGATGTGAGATCAGGCTAAGGCGAGATGCATGCAGAAGGCTTTTTTACCTTGGTGCAGAGAATTTTTTAAGATACACAAAAAACTAACAATTCCCACTGAAGATTTCTTCAGGTTTTTACATTACCGCTATGGACAGCGACATCTACAGAACGTACCTTTTTGGGCAGGAAGTACACTCCTACAGGATATTTGTCAGTGTTGGTCCACAGTTCAATCTGCGCCATGACCTGGTTAGTGAAGGAATTGCTCATGACAAAGCTAGGGTGACCCATCGCACATCCCAAATTTACTAGACGGCCTTCAGCAAGTAATATAATGTGGCGCCCATTTTTCAAGAGGTAGCGGTCCACCTGTAAATAGCAATGAAGTCATTATGAACCTACAGTATCTTTACAAATTAAAGTGGATCTGAAGACAAACTATACACACAAGCTATTCCACACCCAGCTTAAAAACTATATAGGGCCACTAGATACTTGCATATATGAGTAATTAAAAGGAAACTTTAGCTGCCAGCAACATAGAAAGTTAAATGCAGGGGAAAAAAAAAAAAAAAAAAAAAAAAAGGAGGCTGATGAAGTGGAGGGTATATGTTCAGGCAGGATTAGTGACTGGTTGTATGGCACTGTCAGAAGGTCACACATAGAAGACACCATAGGGGGAAGAGGAGGAGAAATTAACTAAGGCTTAGAACACAGACTTTGGCGCATTCACACCAGTGTATTAAGGTAACATGCATGATTATTACTGCAGTTCAGGAAGGAGGAAAGGAAGAAAGGAGGAAGGAGGAGGAAAGAAAGGAGGAAGGAGGAGGAAGAAAGGAGGAAGGAGGAAGGAAGAAAGGAGGAAGGAAGAAAGGAAGAAAGGAGGAGAAAGAAAGAAGAAGAAAGGAGGAAGGAAGAAAGAAGAAGAAGGAAGAAAGGAAGGAAGGAAGAAAGGAGGAAGGAAGAAAGGAGGAAGGAAGAAGGAAGAAAGGAGGAAGGAAGAAAGGAGAAAGGAGGAAAGGAAGAAGGAAGAAAGGAGGAAGGAAGAAAGGAGAAAGGAAAGGAAGAAAGGAAAGGAAGGAGGAAGAAAGGAGGAAGGAAGAAAGGAGGAAGGAAGAAAGGAGGAAGGAAGAAAGGAGGAAGGAAGAAAGGAGGAAGGAAGAAAGGAGGAAGGAAGAAAGGAGGAAGGAAGAAAGGAGGAAGGAAGAAAGGAGGAAGGAAGAAAGGAGGAAGGAAGAAAGGAGGAAGGAAGAAAGGAGGAAGGAAGAAAGGAGGAAGGAAGAAAGGAGGAGGAAGGAAGGAAGAAGAATACGAAGAATTGTCATATTCAAAATATTTGTTGCAAAAAAAAAAAAAAATATATATAATAATAGTGTTCCACGGACTCAACATGCCTCTGCAAAATCCTTGAAGTGTCTACTTTCCATTGGGAAAAGAAATGTGACAGGCAGTCAGAAAGTAAACGCTACGTAATTCCAAATATATATACACCATAGTTTGTAGACACTAACTTTCACACAAATCAAATTAATATACATGTATTGAGTTTTTTGTTTTTTTACCAAAGACATGCAGCAGAATACATTTTAGCCTACATTTATGACTAACTTTGAATTTTAGATTTTTTTTTTTTATAACCAAAAAGTGAAAATTAAAATCAGGTTTTTTTAAATGTTCGGTCTTTTTTTTTTTTGCTTATAGTGCAAAAACAAAAACGGCAGAGGTGATCAAATACCAAAAGAAAGATCTATTTGTGTGAGAAAAAAAAAAAAAAAGACAAATCTCATTTGGGTACAACATTGCTCGACCGCGCAATTACCAGTTGAAATAGCGTAGCGCCGAATAGCAAAAAACAGCCTGGTCAGGAAGGGGGGGGGGATAAACCCTCTGGAGGGCAAGTGGTTTTAGGCTATAGTATACAATAAGTAGATCGCATATGCAGGGAAAATAAAAAAAAAAGTTTAAAAAAAAACTCCTGATCCTTCAACTCTGTGCACCTTCTGCACAAGCACAATGTCTTTGGTAAAGGGTAAAACTAGTGTCAGGATGGCGCAAACACTATACAGTTGGGGTACGCAACAGCCAGTGGCATCTCCCCCAAAACTAAATAATGCCTTTGGCAGCATAATTTCTACAAAAACTACCCATGCTAGCAAGTGTGTTTACGGTTCCACTTTACAGCCCAATTCTCAATACCATCACTGTCCCCGGATCTTACACCACACCAAGCTCCCTTGTCTGATTTACTCTGAAATTGTGCAGACTAGAGAGGTTATTATGGCCTGCACATGTTATATAAAATTGTGCAAGAATATAAAAAAAAAAAAAAAAGGGAAAAAAAAAAAATTGCAGCCATGGATGTGTTCGTGGTTATGAATGTTTGCACGTTCCAGAACTATTACAGCACAATTATTTAATCAATGCTGGCCGTGCAAAAATGGTTCAGGCTTGGCTCTAAGGAAATTAGGAGTGCAATTAGGAGTCATTGACCTAAAACCAGTACTGGAAGGTTGTAAAAAGGGGCACAATCCTGTGTGTTCCAGGTCAGCGATTAAGAAAGTTCTACAGTCATTGATCATCTATCAGGCAACCAGGCAAAGAGCACTCTTCCTACCACCCCATCCCCCACAGCTATCTCCTCCTGTACCACCATCCCCTCCCTTCTAGATTGTAAGCTCCAAGGAGCAGGGCCCTCGATCCCCTCATGTTTTACATTGTATTGGTATTGTTCTGTCACATGTTCTGTCCCCCTCTGTAATGTACAGCGCTGAGCGAACTATTGGCGCTTTATAAATACTGTATAATTTTACAGTAGGAGAGGTCAGAATCTGCAAAACATTACATATTTTCTGCAGAGCTGAAAGGACTTGGAATAAAAAGATGGTAGTTACAAATTTCATGTAACTACTTGTCTTTCTTCCTGAAAAAAAAAATAAATAAATAAATAAATAAATAAATAAATAGCCCAGGTGGGATGCACATCACGGTTTTCCATTCAGTGCTAGTTTGCATCTGATCTGTGTAGAATTTGCATCATTGTGAAAAGCATAGATTCGTATGTAATCTTCAAAAGCATTATTTCCAAAGCAGGCTGTTCACATATATGCAGTGCAAATTTCATACGGTCCCAAAAAAAAAAAAAAAAAAAAAAAAAAAAAGGAGGGGGGGTGTCAGGTGCAATGCAAGTTTAATGCGGGTGTTTAACTGCATCAGATATGCACTGAATCAGTGAGAACCAGCATTTAAGGTCGCTGTGCATGTGTTGGTTGTTCACCACAAACTTTAAGGGGTTGATTAATAAAGTATTTGCATAGCCATTCACCCTGCAAAAGTGCAAGTACAGTCATTCTATAGGACAATGGCATTAGGATAGGAGATACACACACACACACACACACACACACACACACACACACACACACAACACACCTATTTTGATTGCAAATCATTCAATAAAAATACCAACAAAATTCTGCATTTGGCCATTAGATTGAGCCAAGTATTAATAAAAAAAAAAAAACCCCATGATCCTTTGCTCCATCTAGTGGCAAAATGTGTTACTTTCAACCTTAGAGAATAACGAATGCTCATACTAGATGCGTATTTACTATGGATTTAAACGGCCTAAGGGTAGAGCATTAACCATTTGCCTACTGGGCACTTCCACCCTCTTCCTGCCCAGGCCAAATTTTTCAGCTTCCAGCGCCATCGCACTTTGAATGACAATTGCATGGTCATGAAACACTGTACCCAAGATTAAAAAAAATTTACTTTTTTTTTCTCTTCACACACAAATAGAGCTTTTTGGTGGTATTTATCACCACTGGGGGTTTTATTGTTTGCAACAAAAAAAGATCACTTATTTACAAAACTTGAAGCAAAATGGCTTTTTTTCCCCCCCAGAATTTGATTTTTTTTTTCTCCTGCACTGCTGGGCAGCGACAAGGCTGCACTGAAAGCCTGCACAGATGGGGCTACACCGATCGTCAACGCACTGGTGATTAGTGTAGAGGTCCCCCTAAGAAATGCAGCTTACTGGCTCTCCTCAAATGCGGTTAGCATAGAGAGGACTGCCGATAACTGGCATTTCCTATTTACATGTGATTGGACACATCTTTTGGCTATCAAGCAGGTGGGAAGAAGTTAACCACTTAGCCCTCCAGAAGATTTACCACCCTTCCTAACCAGGCCATTTTTTTGTGTTACCGCGCTGTTACTTTTGCTGACAGTTGCGCGGTCATGCAACGCTGCACCCAAATTAAATTTATGTCCCACAAACTGAGCTCTCTTTGGGTGGCATTTAATTGCCTCTGCGCTTTTTGCGCTACAAACCGAAAATAAATAAAACATTTTAAAAAAAAGGGAATATATTTGACTTTTTGCTATAAAACATATCCAGTAAAATAAAAATCAAATTGTCAACAATTAAGCCTATCTATATCACGAAGTGTAAATTCATTGGTTTGTGTGAAAGTTTACAAAATGGAGATTGTATATATGTTACATACACATTTGTTTTTTTATACTAGTAATGGCGACAATCAATGAGCGGGACTGCAGCAGGCATTCTGACAAGGGGGGGGGAACCTGACCAACTGCCACTGATATTCCAATGACATTAATGCAGTAATCAGTGCTAAGACAAAGCACAGACACTGTACCAATGACACTGGGCAGGAAGGGGTTAACATCTGTGGCAATCAAAGCGTTAACAGTTTTACTATGTCAGCATGCTGCTTTGTATTACAAAGCAGTATGCTGGTGCTGACAGAGGAGAGACCTGTGTTTGCATACAGACCTCCCCCCAATCAGTGTTCCTCAGCAAATCGCTGGGTGCTGGCGGGGAATCTCCGGCTGTAGACGCCAATGGCGCTGCCAGTAGGGCGGCACGTGCCCCCTACCCAGAAATGCAAAAATCACACGAATTTGCACAACCCTACCACCCTGTAGCAGTAGTTCTGCTACAGGGCGGTTGGGAAGCGGTTTCAATGTTATCGTTTACCTGCGGCTTGATGTTCACTTTCTTGGCAGCGTTGTCATTTAACCACTTCACATCGAGTTCAACATCAAAGTGGCCAATGTTGCAAACAATGGAATCATCCTTCATCTGCTCAAAGTGTCTGAGGAGTAAAAAGAAGATCAGCTAGGTTATGAGCATTGGGAGTGTAAAGGACTACAAAAGACAGGAAGCAGAATGTGTAGGCATTAGAACTAAGAAGCAAAAATATCCAAGGCGTCTCCCAAGGCCACAAATACATTTTAGTCTTGTCAATTCAAAATAGGAAGAAAAAGTCAGTCCACCCAACAGAGATGTTATTGGGGTTGCACATTTTTGGAATCCCACTGTCCTCTGGAAAGCTCTCGTGGTAAGATCTTGCTGTTGCAAAAAAGTCAACTCTGCCCTACCAAAGAGCTATATACAGCTGAGATCACATGACCAGTGCAACGGTCACACACATGACATACATTAGGAAGCAGAACTCCAGGGAAAAATTAAAGTTGTTTGTGTATGATCTCTATTCACCTGATATGGGAGAGTTTGTTTTTGGTTTTATTTTTTTAACTGCTAGCCTACAGAGCACTTATACCCCCTTCCTGCCCAGGCCAAATTTCCAGCTTTCAGCACTGTTGCACTTTGAATGAAAATTACGCGGTCATACAACATTGTACCCATATGACATTTTTATCATTGTTTTGTGGCAGAACAGAGCTTTATTTTGGGGGTATTTAATCACCTCAGGGTTTATTATTTTTTTCTTAAACAAACCTAAAAACCACTAAAAATTTTGAAGAAAAAAAAAAAAAAAAAACCACCCCACATAAACACACGTTTTTAGTTTTTGTTATAAAATTTTGTAAATAAGTGATTTTTCTCCTTCACTGATATGCGCTAATGAGGCTGCAGTGGTGGGCACTGATGGGCATTGACAGGCATCACTGAAAGGCAGCTCAGATGGGCACCGATGTGTGGTATTGCTGTGCACTGGTAGGCACCGATATGTGGCATTGATGTGACACTGGCACGAGGCACTGATGGACACTGACAGGTGGCACTACTGGGGCTACACTGATCATCAGGGCACACTAATCATCAGTGCCCCGATGATCAGTGTACATGTCCTCTCCGCGGAAAGCCGAGGCATTTATGATATAGGTCGCTGTAAAAAAAAAAAAAAAAATATACACAACAGACTGTTTCTTACCTGCCTTCAACAATGTCTGCACACCCTGTTGTAGTGACAAAAATGTTCCCTTCTTTACAAGCTTCATCCATTGTTGTGACCTCATAACCTGCCAAAAGAACATACTGTTAAAGTTCTTGGGATATCAAGTGGTGGCCAACTGACTACATGTGCAGCAGCATCACTTGTGTTAACCTGTTCACATTTTAAAATGCTCCATCCCCCACTCAAACACCTATAAATCTAACCTCTGTGTAAAAAAAAAAAAAAAAAAAAAAAAAAAAGGGGGGGGGGGGAGGAAGATGCAAATACCTAGATTTCAGGCCGCACTAATCCAGTCAGTCAGTCACATGATCTCCCGTATTAGCCAGCACTGGCTCCAGGGGAGAGGAGAAAGCCCAACAACAGCTGGTTATGCCTGGGAGCAGTGATGCTACCCATAGGCTTCAATTGCCCCAGAGAAGACAGGATCAAACAGCCTTTTTACACAATACGGAGGATTAACCCCTTAGGTTCCACAGTGAGTGTAACAAGCACACTTTACTGCATATACAGACTGATTTCACTGTGAATTTAGTAACACTTTAACTCTGCATCAAGCCAGAAACAAAAAACCCTAAGCTTTATAACGCTTGTAACAACAACCTCCCTGGTCCCTTAACATCCCCCACCCTGGTCTTCAAATAAATATACCATCTCACACTTAAACAAAAAATATATATAAGCATTTATTTTACACTGCATCCTGCATAGCATTGCACCCAAGATCAGAGGGTGCAAATCAGTGCAGAGCATTCTGTGATTGGACAAGGTGGAGAGGATGATGTCACTGCCCCACCTCATCCAGAGAATGTTTTACATTCATTGGGAAAAATTCCACGTTTTCTTCTGAATGGTACCTGTTCCAAGTGAATAACCTCTTGTGATCAACAAGGCAACCACTTGGCACGGGACCCAGAAGCAAGTGGAGCTACTACTTGGCATGGAGTTAGGTTAATAAGAGGCTTAACCAGTACTCCTAAATCCACCCTTCACTTCATTCTGCCCAACTGCATTTCATTGCACGACTGCTGATTCTGTTCCAAGAAAACAAAAACCAAAAACTGGAACTCAAGGATTGGTCTGTGTTCCATGGTCCTCACCTTCCATGGCTGCCTGCAGCGCATTGATGGGGTCTATCTCCGTGATGATGACACGTGCACCAAAGGCCCTTAAAGCTTGAGCACAACCTTTTCCAACATCGCCATACCCTGCAACCACTGCAACCTTCCCTGCAATCATCACATCAGTGGCTCGCTTAATGCCATCAATCAGGGACTCTCGGCAACCGTACAGGTTATCAAATTTACTCTGAAAATTTAAAAAATGCATTAACAATTCAAGAAAAGAAAAAAAAAAAAAAAAAGTCTTCACCACAAAACAATCATGCACCAAATTTAGCTTTTAATGAATCTAGAAAGAAGGTGTGAACCTACCTTTGTCACAGAGTCATTGACATTGATGGCAGGTACTTTTAGGGTCCCTTCAGCTTTCATTTTGTACAGGTTGTGCACGCCTGTGGTCGTCTCTTCAGAGATCCCCTTAATTCCTGCAGGAAAGAAAAAGCATCAGATTTGGATTTTTTTGGTCTAGGTCATAAGGCTGGCAGCTTTGTCTGTAGAGTTTTGGTGGGCTGCAATCGGAGAGTGGAGAATAATTTCACATAATAAAAATGAATATACACATGTACGTATACACATATATACAGTCAGGTCCATAAATATTGGGACATCGACACAATTCTAACATTTTTGGCTCTATACACCATTTGAAATGAAACGAATATGTGCTTTAACTGCAGACTCTCAGCTTTAATTTGAGGGTATTTACATCCAAATCAGGTGAACGGTGTAGGAATTACAACAGTTTGCATATGTGCCTCCCACTAGCACTAGAAATATACATCACTGTATTAATGACTGGCTGGGAAGGGGTTAAACATCTAGGTGATCAAAGCGTCAAATGCAGCTTGACCACTGCACCTGGAAATATTAAAAAAGCAAAAATATTTTATTGTAAGAAATACATTAGGGAATAAAAGTAAAGACAGAGAGGGGTACGATTAGGAGTGCCAACATCCCTAAGGCTACATTCACACTAGCTTTGTCAGCAGGCGTCAGGGAAGGGTGTTTAATGCTTCTCAAAACGCCTATGAAAATGCTGCACATGGCAGCACACAGTGCTGTTCACACTGAAGCATTAGCGTCGCGGCAAAACTGACACCTCGTGTCCAGTCAGGAGGAGTTGAAGCCTCCTATTCAAGTCCATGGTGCTGCTCCGCAAACGCCTGGCAGGCGGTTGTGTAGTGTTAATACCATTTAACTTCAATTATAGGCATTTGTGGTGCGGTTTTAACAACGGGTTTCGGCACCCGTTGATCGACTTACATATACATGTGTGATTTCGCACAGAACGGCCACCGTGTAGTAGTACATCTGCTATAGGGCAGCCGGCAAATGGTTAAATCCACCTACAGTTGACAGACATGCTTTTGCCGCAGGGAGTTTTATCTACCTTTTCAGTAAAATACATACCAAGGTTAGCCATATAAAATAAAAAATAAAACCACTTTCCTCCTGCTACTTTGACGTCACGTTTATGTTCTCAACTCTCAAGACTTCATATTAAAAAAGATACTGCCCTCCTAAAACTTTATTTCACACCCAAATATACATATAAAAAAAACATAAGCACTTTACAATGGAGTTTTTAAAAATAAAAAAAATAAAATTTACTAAGAGAATTAAAAAAAAGGAGGGAAGGAGCTTTTTATGACATTATAGTATTTTTCCTAGCAAGTCATATATATCTTGGGCATAGTGATAACCAAAGTAATAGCCTTTACTGGCTAACAGATCACTGAAGGTGTATTTTCATCAATAAAAGCCTGTCATCTGTGTACTGTACAGAAAAATCACTTTGTCTGTACAACACTCCCACCTAGGGGTAACATTATAAACTGCAGAATATCAAAGCAATGGATTGTCAGTCTAATCACCTTTCAGCAGCTCTGGATGTTTGGTGTGAACAAGGTTTGTGAGATCTCCTCCATCATCAAGGATCATGTTGAGTGGTTTTCCATCAGGAAAATATAGGGTCTGCTCAATGCACCAGATGTACTCTTCATCGGTCTCCCCCTTCCAGGCGTACACTGCAAGGAAACAGCTGGATTATGCACAAGTCCAGTCTGCTAGATAATTAAAACCGCAATTAAAGTTTAGCAAGAAAGTTCCCCCCCTCCCTTCCTGGTCTCTGGGGATAGAGCTTGAAGCAGTTCTTGCATCTCTATACCAATATAACTCATGCAAGAAGTGCCATTTGAAAAATGGTTTGGGGGCGGGGGGGGGGGGGGGGGGGGGGGGGGGGGGGGGGGGGGGGGGGGGGGGGGGTGGCACGGGGGTGAGAAGACACTCATTTGGAATGATTGTGTGTTATTCATCAACTCTTGCAAAACATAAGCGTTTATTCATGGCACAACTTCTCTGCCTTACCTGGTACCCCCGGTCTTGGCAATGGCTGCAGCAGCATGATCTTGGGTGGAGAAGATATTGCAGCTTGACCACTGCACCTGGAAAAATTAAAAAAAGCAAAAATATTTTATTGTAAAGGAGTACATTAGGGAATACAAGTAAAGAGAAGGGGGGTATGATTAGTGCCAACATCCCTAAGGCAACATTCACACTAGCTTTGTCAGCAGGCGTCTGGGAAGGGTTTTCAACGCTTCTGAAACGCCCATGAAAATTCTGCACATGGCAGCACACAGTGCTGTTCACACTGAAGCGTTAGTGTTGCGGCAAAACTGACACCTCGTGTCCAGTCAGGAGTTGAAGCCTCCCATTCAAGTCTATGGTGCTGCTCCGCAAACGCCTGGCAGACGGTTGCGTAGTGTTAATACCATTTAACTTCATTATAGGCATTTGTGGTGCGGTTTTACTTGGCAAACGCCTATCAACCGCCTCAAAACCACGCATGGGGCATTTGGGGAGCGTTTTTAACGCTCCTCAAACGCCTGTCTAACGCTATAGGGGAGTTTGGCAGGAGTTTCGAAATAAAGTCAAGTGTGAACGAGCCCTAAAAGATACAATGGGGAAGTCCTCTTGTTGGTGGGACTTGAAACGGCACAATTCTCTTATACGATCAGCTTGAACAATTCAAAAGTTTTAAAAAGATGGTACAGTTTTTATTTTTACAATCTTAAAAGCAGACATGAAGCTACAATACAAATAACGGCGGTATTATCACAGATGGGGTTTCCAATGTAGAGGTAGGTTATGCGTAAATTGCACTTGACGCATTTCGAGACCAACGGCAATCTCTTCCTCACAAGTGCTCAAGAAGGCATGACTCATAACTCCACGTGGGGTGAGAACTGCCAAGGAACTAAAAAAAAAAAACTTGTTTTCCAAGAACACAGCCAAGGACGCTTCATATATATCTTTGGCAGGAATGGTAGAACAGGAGAATGAAAAAGCAAAAAAAAGCAAAAAAAAAACAGCAAAGGACAAAACGTCACCCAAACGCCTCCTGGAGGGGCTCCGCCCAACTGCACCAACAGCGAGGCCAAATGCTCACTAATGCTGAAAAGGTAGCACTGTAAATAAGAATGCAAGAAGATGACAAAAAAAAAAAAAAAAAGAAAATATATAATTTTATTAAAAAGGAGGTTTTGGGAGCCTGGTAAAAGTCAGAACCAGGACATGGGAGACGAAGCACTTCGAAGTTGGGCGTCAGGTTTGTCATGTGAGGTGCACATAATGGCTGTGAGAAGATATTGCAGCTTGACCACTGCACCTGGAAGAATGAAAAAAATTTTTTTTTTTTTTTTACAATAAAAAGGGGGGTACGTTAGGGAATGCAAGGTGCATGAAAATTCCAGGACCTGACCCGTGTGCAAAGTCCAGTGGTTGGGAGGGTATTATTAGAATACAGGATTTATATAGCGCCAACAGTCTGCTTGGTGCTTTACAAAATAAAAAAGGTATACATTACAGTTACAATACAATTTGGTACAAGAGGAAACAGAGGACCCGGCTCGTGAGAGCTTACAATCTAGGAGGAAGGGTTGAGTGATACAAAAAGGTAATAGCTGTGGGGGGGTGAGCTGATGGGGGAAATAAAAGGCAGTTTACTAGTAAGAAGCAGGATAGGCTTCTATAAAGAGAAAGGTTTTCAGGAATCATCTGAAAAAGGTGATTAGATTAGGAGATAGCCGGATAGATTGGGGTAGGGAGTTCCATAGGATGGGAGAAGCCCTGGAGGAGGGGGTATCACAGCTCTAGACACAGAACAGCACTGCAACACTGATGGACCCACAATGCTGTGCTTCCTGCACAGTACAATATAACAGACAAGCCCAAGAATTCTTAACTATGGCCCAGACAAAGCTAAGCCTTCTAAACTGGTAATGCCTAGTAGTACAAAGCTCAAACAATTCTGCAATATTAGTTAAAGATTACTAAATTTGCTTCCATGCAAGAAAAGCCAATTTGATGTGCACAAGGTTTTTTTTTCTTCCCTCTTTCATTAAAGAGAAGGGGAATGTCCACCCAAAAAGCGTATTTCAGACAATTTCTTGCATCCATAGAGACAAGCATTAAAATGCCTGTGTTGCACATCACTATGTAAGTGCATCTAATTTTTTTTTTTGTACATTGCCTTTTATACACCGAAGGCTGGTTCACACCAGATGCAGTCCAGCACTTTTTTTCTGCTCAAACAATGCATGCACAGTGTTTCCCATGTATTCTAATGGCCCTAGTTCACACTAGTGCAGTCTGTTCCAGTGCGATCAGATGGGGGGGGTCCTGATGAGGTCATGACTTGTGAAGTAACGCATAGGACAGAAGCGTGGTGGCATTATTCCAGTACGGACGGCAGCCGTCATATTGGTACTCCCAACTTCATACACCCTGTACTATTTGATACAGCGATTGCCTTTTGGATCTGCTAATGTACCCATTAATAAAGCCTTCCTTCCTACACTATGGAAGCTCTCTTTTGATCCTTTGTGAGGAATTTGGAGGGAGGAGGAGATTTAAAAAAAATATAAATAAATAGTTGCAGTTCCTAAAATTGGTACTTGGTATTATGTTCAACCCCTTGAGTTAAAGCTGAAAGTCTGCATTTCAAATTAATTTGGATTGTTGTGTTTTAATTTATTCGGTTGGCATACAGAGCCAAAAGTATGAAAATTGTGCCTGTGTCCAAATATATATGCACACAAGTGTATATTTTTATGCATTTCATCCACTGAACATGATTTTTTTGCATTCACCATTTGGTCACTTTATCTTTGTTGCCCCTTTTTTGGGTCTGTCTTTTATGTCACTTATCTATTTTTCATTTATACGTTTATGCATTTCATCCATCGAACACTGTTCTTGTCAATCTTTGTTGCCATTTGTTACAAGTATTGTGGATTCACTTTTGTTGTTACATGGTAACATCTGGATTGTTCATTCATTTTTGGGTTTTAGGAGATTGTTAAAAATGCTGCACTACCAATTAGTGAACAAACAATTTTATTTGCATTTATGTGAATGGTTTACTCACTTTTAGGATAAGTAGCGCAGCACAATTTTTCATACATTTGTTTCAGCCACTTTTTGGCAGCACAGGAGGCTTCTCTTCATTTTTGCAACATGGTCTTGAATGATTTTGTTAGGAAAAATACTTTGTGGGTGCAAATTAACAAATCTTGTTTGCAAAAAATGGCCCGCATTTGTGAGTATTTCGTAGTTTAAAAAAAAAAAAAAAAAAAAAAATCTTCTGGATATCTATACGGATATGGATTTGGTAATGTATTAGGAACGTAAGGATGCCTCATCATTTGATGGAAATGAAAATCAACCTACAGAGGACTGATTTTAAAGACACCCCGAAAATCAAACTGAAAAAAGATGCAGTAGGCTAGTCCATTTTGATGAAATTTCATTGCAGCAACTCAAAATGGTACTCAGTTTGTATGGCCCCCACATGCTTGTATGTCTGACAATGTCGGGGCATGCTCCTAATGAGACGATGGAAGGTGTCCTGGGGTATTTCTTTCCAGATCTGGACCAGGGCATCACTGAGCTCCTGGACAGTCTGAGGTGCAACCTGGCAGCATTGGATGGACCAAAACATGATATCCCAGAGGTGTTCTATTGGATTTAGGTTAGGCAAAGGTAGGGGCCATTCAATGGTATCAATTCCTTCATCCTCCAGGAACTGCCTGCATACTTTCATCACATGAGCCCAGGACCCACAGCACCAGCACAGGGTCTGACAATGGGTCCAAGGATTTCATTCTGATACCCAATGCCAGTCAGGGTGCCATTGTCTAGCCTGTAGAGGTCTGCGAATCTCTCCATGGATATGCCTCCACAGACCATCACTGACCGACCACCAAACGGTCATGCTGAACGATGTTACAGGCAGCATAAGGTTCTCCAGACCTTTTCACGTCTGTCACTTGTGCTCAAAGTGAACCTGCTCTCATCTGTGAAAAGCACAGGGCACCTGTGGTGGATCTGCCAATTCTGGTGTTCAATGGCAAATGCCAATCTAGCTCTATGGTGCCAGGCAGTAAGCACAGGGCCCACTAGAGGAAGTCGGGCCCTCAGGCCACCCTCATGAAGTCTGTTTTGGATTGTTTGGTCAGAGACAGTCACATCAGTGGCCTGCTGGAGGTCATTTTGTATGGCTCTGGCAGTGCTCATTCTTTTCCTCCTTGCACAAAGGAGCCGATACCGGTCCTGCTGATGGGTTAAGGACCTTCTACGGCCCTGTCCAGCTCTCCTAGAGTAACTGTCTTCTGGAATCTCCTCCATGCTCTTGAGATTGGGTGACACAGACAACCTTCTGGCAATGGCACGTATTGAGGTGCAGTCCTGGAGGAGCTTGACTGCCTGTGCAACCTCTGTAGATTCCAGGTATTGCCTCATGCTAACAGTAGTGCCACTGACCCTAGCCAAATGCAAAACTAGTGAAAAACAGTCAAAAGATAAGGAAAAAAAAAAAAAAAAAAAAAAAAAAAAAAGGCAGTGGCCTCCACCTGTAAAACTATTCCTGTTTTGAGGGTAGTCTCATCGCTGCCCATCTAGTAAACCTGTTAATTTCATTAACACCAAAAGCAGCTGAAACTGATTAACAACCCCCTCTGCTACTTAACTGACCAGATCAATATCCCAGGAGACAAATATACACGTGCGCAATTTTGCACTTATGCCTCATGGGGGTGCACACACGCTGCTGGCAGATCACTTCTGCTGTGAATGGTCACAGCAGAAGCAGATCTCAGAGTCCCAGCGCACATCCATGCACAGATCATTGAGCAGGAAGGAAGAACTGAGTTGTGCCTATCGCATGTCCCTGCAGTGCTGGGAGCACAATCCATCACTTCCTCTCGTGCCACCCAGTGTTACCGTGTTAAAAAAAAAAAAAAAAAAAAAAAAAAAAAAAAAAAAAAAAAAAAAAAAAAAAAAAAAAAAAAAAAAAAAAGGGATACCACAAAAAGAAACCTATTTGCAGGAAAAACAAAAAAAAAAGACCGACCAATTGTCAGTTAAAATAAATGCAGCGCCGTACTGCAAAAAAACAGCCTGGTCAGGAGGGGGGGGGGGGGGGGGGGGGGGGGGGGGGAGTGTAAATCTTCCAGAGAAAAGTTGGGAAGCTCTTGCCCTCAGTCTTGATCTGCACCTCTTTCCATCACCTGCCCTGCTGTGAGGAGGGCAGTGGTGGCTGCTGGGTGGGAGATTGGGGAGAGGGCACCGCAGGATGATACATGCCTCTGCCCTACCAAAAAGGTAGGGCTGTGTAGGGGAGTTTTGCGATGTGAAGGGGCAATACAGAACGGCTTTAAGAAGTAAAAACTGCGAAAAGAACTGCAAAAAAAAAAAAAAAAAAAGGCAAAGCGCAAACTGAATAGGTGTGAACGTAGCCTAAAGGGTGTACTGATATTTAGGGGGTCTGCAATGTATAGCGGGACTGTGGACACTAATGTAAAGGTGGTGGGGGACTAATGTGAAGGGGGGGCTGAGAACACAGACAGAGGGTACAATGATGTAAAGGGGGCTATGACGTGTAGGGTAAGCCAAGCTAACGCCGATTTAGGAGGGCAGTTGGGTGTAAACAGCCAGGCCATGTACATCCGACTGCCCACAGAGCAGAGCAGGCTGTGTCTCGTTCTATACAAGTGGAGTGGACAGACCTGTCATCCAGCAGCTCCACTCATCTCAGCAGGGCGATCAGTGGACAGATCCCCTGCTGAGCAAAACTAGATTTAGAATTAATCACGTGCAATAAAAAAAATCCAAAAAACAGGCAGTTTGTACTGAAGAGACTTCAGTACAACCAGATTACCTATTGATGGATCGAAACTCAGCCAGTCCCTGCTTAACCAGCCAAAATGTTTCCATCTACGGCCAGCTTTACTATACCAGCTTTTTGTTACCCTGTCCCAACTTATTTGTGACGTGTCGCTGATCAATTTCATAACCATTTTTTTTTTTTTTTTTTTTTTTTTTTTTACTTAAAACATTGTACATGGTACATTGTCAGTTTAAAATTTGTTTTTAAGTGAATTTTACACAGCGTTCCAACTGGGGTTGTAGGTTTTGAATATGCAGAATATTTGCCACAGCATGTGCCATATGTTGTTCAGCAATCAACTTTTGAATTTGTTTTCTTTCAAGGTAAAAAAAAGGGACCCAGGCAAACAAAGAAATCCAGAGAGAGCAGGTGTGGGGAAATAAAAATCCCCAACCAATTTTCCCAGAGCAGCTGCCACCACGGAGCAGGTATTAAATCCTAGAACGACTAGGATAAGCCACCTCCCTTAGTCCTCATGCACACTGGATGTTTTTACAGCAGATGTTTTTGGCTTTTGACTTTCTACATCTAGTAAACCCCCCCCCCCCCCCCCCCCCCCCCCCCCCCCCCCCCCACGTTATCCTGTGTGTCCATGCACACAGACTGTAATCAACGTTTTTTGGCTGGAAAATAAACCCAAGACTAGTGGGTTTCTAGAGGAGTTGAGCTGTAAAAATGTTCTAACGCTGAAAAATATGGCAAAACACAGTAAAACGCCATTCAAGTCCATTTACAACTGCTGGTCCATGGAGATGAATGGATTGTCCGAACAAGTCAATCTGGAAAAACGGATAGGTGGACCTGATTGGAACGACTGTGTGAAAGACGCACACAAATTTGAATATCGTGCAAAAAAGTTCATTTCAGTGCAGCAACTTAAAAAGTTGAAAATATATGAGATAGACTCATTACATGCAAAGCAAGATAGTTCAAGCCGTGATTTGTCATAATTGTGACGATTATGGCTTACAACTCATGAAAACCCCAAATCCACAATCTCAGAAAATTAGATTACATGCAATCAATAAAACAAGGATTGTACATAAAACAATACCGGACCTCTGAAAAGTAGAAGCATGCATATGTACTCAGTACTTGGTTTGGGCCCCTTTTGCAGCAATTACTGCCTCAATGCACCGTGGCATGGAAGCCATCAGCCTGTGGCACTGCCGAGGTGTTATGGAAGACCAGGATGCTTCAATAGCAGCCTTCAGCTCTTCTGCATTGTTCGGTCTCATATCTTTCTCTTGGCAATGCCCCATAGATTCTCTATGGGGTTCAGATCAGCCGAGTTTGCTGGCCAATCAAGCACAGTAATCCCACGGTCATTGAACCAGGTTTTGGTGCTTTTGGCAGTGTGGGCAGGTGCCAAGTCCTGCTGGAAAATGAAGTCAGCATCCCCATAAAGCTTGTCTGTGGAAGGAAGCATGAAGTGCTCCAAAATCTCCTGGTAGACGGCTGCATTGACCCTGGACTTAATGAAGCACAGTGGGCCAACACCAGCAGATGACATGGCTCCCCAAATCAACACAGACTGGAAACTTCACACTAGACTTAAAGCATCTTGCAGTGTGTGCCTCTCCATTCTTCCTCCATACTCTGGGTCCTTGGTTTCCAAATGAGATGCAAAAGTTGCTCTCATCAGAAAAGAGGACTTTGGACCACTGAGCAACAGACCAGGTCTGTTTTTCTTTAGCCCAGGTAAGATGCTTCTGACGTTGTTTGTTGTCCAGGAGCAGCTTGACAAGAGGAATACGACATTTGAAAACCATGTCCAGGATCAGTCGGTGTGTGGTGGCTCTAGATGCACTGACTCAAGCCTCAGTCCACTCCTTGTGAAAGTCCCCAATACTTTTGAAATGGCCTTTACCCGACAATCCTCTCCAGGCTGCGGTCATCCCTGCTGCTTGTGCACCTTTTTCTTCCACACTTTTCCCTTTGACTTAACTTTCTATTAATGTGCTTTGATACAGCACTTTGGGAACATCCAACTTTTTGCAATTACCTTTTGAGGCTTTCCTCCTTATGGAGGGTGTCAATGATGGTTTTCTGCACAACTGTCAGGTCAACAGTCTTTCCCATGATTGTGATGCCTACAGAACCAGACTGAGAGACCATTTAAAGGCTCAGGAACCCTTTGCAGGTGTTATGGCTTAATTAGCTGATTAGAGTGGGACACTTTGAGCCGAGAATATTGCACCTTTTCACAATATTCTCATTTTCTGAGATTGTGGATTTGGGGTTTTCATGAGCTGTAAGCCATAATCACCACAATGACGACAAATCACAGCTTGAACTATTTTGCTTTGCATGTAATGAGTCTCATATATTAGTTTCACCTTTTAAGTTACATTACTGAAATAAATGAACTTTTGCACAATATTCTAATTTTTCGTGTTTCACCTGTAAGTTTACATGCAATGCAAGTAAACTTACTAAGACCGATGAAACAGAGCTTCTACCTTCCTAATCATTCATGGCTTGCAGGCATGGGCTTCCAGCTTGGAAGGTCTCTGTTAACCTCAGATCTTTAAGCTCCAGTGCAATGGCTATACTCAAAATGCTCTTTATTAAATTTGGTGTGGTACAGTCATGTGAAAAGCCAGCGTGTTTCGGCCATAGAAAAAAATTTCATATAAAAATGGTCCTGTATAACCAGTATGTACCTCAGCTCCCAGTGCCGTCAGGGTCTCAATGAGCACAGCTGTCTGGAGAGTCATGTGCAGACAACCGGCAATCCGGGCCCCTTTCAGAGGTTTGCTCTTCGAGTGCATCTCCCTCATCTTCATCAGGCCAGGCATTTCGTTTTCTGCAATTTCGATGGCCTTCCTGCCCCATTCTGCCAGGGTGATGTCAGCTAGAACAGATACAAAATATTTTACTGAACATAATCTAGAACAGTGGCTGTGCACTAATCAACACCAAATACTACAGGTTTCACAGTGTACTTCACGTGGACAGAGTTCACCAACTTTACACTTTCTGGCAGAATGTTTATCCAACGTTTAGGACAAGGGTGTTCAACCGTTTGATGAGCGAGGGCCACTTAAGTGATTTGGTAACTGGTCTTGGTCCACAATGAAATAAAATCGTTCAATCTACTATTCAAAATGAAAAAAGTAAAAAAAATTGAACATATTCCTCCTGCAGCCAATGAATGCCGGCAGAAGGGAAAGGAGGAGAAGCCGGCTTTCAGCAGTTGCAGGAGGAAAATGGAGAGGATTGGTTCCTGTATATGCCCCCCTACTGCCTTACTGCCTCTCCTGTGCAAGTGTAAAACAATGTGACAGGAAGGCCGCATGGGCCCCCTGGAGCATGAGGCAGGGTCACCACTGGGACCCCTGATGCTACACCAGTAGTTGGGAATGTGATAAAAACAAGTCAACTATGGGTTTTACCAAACCTCCAAACTACAAATGTAAAATGAGCACTTACTGTCCTGAGCTCCCTGTAAGGCTGTTTTCAAACTGATATGTTGCGGTTTATCATAGTTGCAGCCCACTTAAGGTTTCCCTGTGGGCTGCCATAGACCTATTTTTTGCAGGTATATGGTGCACTTTCTGAAAGTGAACTAAAACTCCCACATTTAGTTTGAGGTCAAAGGGCCACATCAGAGGGCTCCGAGGGCCGCATGTGGCCAACAGGCCACAGGTTGAGCATTACTGGTTTAGGGTGTTACCATCTTCCTAGCAGAGGGGAAGGGTTAAGATCATTCAAATCAAGTCTCTGGTATATATTAAGGGTTCTGGTAGATCACAAGCTTAATAATGGCATGCAATGTCAAGCTGAGGTTTCGAAAGCGAGTAAATCCTCTCTTGTATTAAAAGAGGTATAGACTCCAGAGAGAGATACAATTCCCGCTGTACAAATCATTGGTAAGACCTCATCTGGAATATGCAGTTCAGTTTTGGGCACCAATTCACAAAAAGAACATTGGGGAACTGAAGAGAGTACAGAGAAGGGCAACCAAACTGATAACAGGCATGGAGGAGTTCAGCTATGAGGAAAGATTAGAGGAACTGAATTTATTCTCTTGAGGAGATTAAGGGGGATATGATCTCCATGTATAATACATAAGGGGGATATGATCTCCATGTATAAATACATCAGTGGTTCATATAGTGAACTCGGTGTAGAGTTATTCACCCTGAGGTCATCACAGAGGACAAGGGGACACTCTTTACGTCTGGAGGAAAGGAAATTTAATCTCCAAACATGGAAAGGTGTCTTCACAGTAAGAGCTGTGAAATGTGGAACAGACTCCCTCAAGAGTTGGTTCTGGCCAGCTCAGTGGATTGCTTTTAAAAACACCTGGGGGGGAGGAATCATGAGCCTTTAGAACCACTTTAACTGCATCAGTTAAAAAATAAAAATAAATAATTTTTTAATAGTGTCTTCTCTGCAGGATCTTTTGGTAAAGCTCCAATCTGAATGGACAGTAACATCGTTTGGCAGGTAAAACAGATCAAATGCCTGTATTTCAGAAGTTAATTTTAGCCATTTGCCAGGAGTACAGCTTTAACCCAAGATCAGCCAAGCAGGGATTCACATACAAAACACCAAGATTTGAAAGCATAACCGGCAATTGTACACAGCCATGCTCAGTTTACTGGCAGTCTCTTGTGTCACCAGTCCAGTAGATCATCCATTAGATCACATTTTCTGAATTGGTTTACAAAGGGGAAAAAAAAAAAAAAAAAAAAAAAGGGAAGGTTCTACAGTTGGAACAGAAGACTTTGATCTGTGACCTCCTTTCCCATCCAAAACAAAAAAATAATCAGGTTATCCCAAATGCGTGTACGCAACTGAAATGAGCGGGATTGCTAATAAAAAGCACTGACACTGTACAAATGACACTGGGCAGGAAGGGGTTAACATCTGGGGCGATCAAAGGGTTAACTGTGTGCTGTTTTACATGATGGGCTGTGTGTTTTACTAGGGAGACATGCTGCTGTGTATTTCTCTGCTATGCAGAGAAATACATAGCAGCATGTCCTTCCTGGTAGGAGAGAGATCTTCGTTTACACACAGGTCTGTCCCGTCAGCTTTGCCTGACGATCGCCGGGGAATCTCCAGCCTGGACCCAGTAATCAACATTGCTAGCCGCCAGTGGCGGCACAGGTAGGGCGGCATGCACATGCGGGTGTACACTACCCGGAAATGCACATCACTTATAGTGTTCTACTATAGGGCAGCAGGCATGTGGGTAAAGTGGGACTCCACCTAAAAGAGGAAGTTCTGCTTTAGGGACTGGTCTGTCACTCCCCATGAGGAATTGGCACTAGGGGGAGCGGGTATCCAATTTTAACAGCTACCTGCTCCCACTACCACCTCCTAGAGTAGATGATCGGAGGTTGTCCTCCCTGCCTCCTCTGCAGCATTCTGGGGTATGTGAAAGGTCCCAGAAGACTACAGGACCATTCACAAGGTGCAGCGCTACTCGCGAACGCGCAGTGGGCACCCAGCTATGAAGCTGCAAGCAGTCACAGCCAGATGCCCTCAATTAAGATTCCAGTGCCAGGGAGATAAGATGATCTGTGTTAACACACCGCTGGATCAGAAGACAGGTGAGTGGCCGTTTAAAAGTCAGCAACTACAGTTTTTGCAGCAGACAAATTTTCTTTAACCACCTCCCGCCCACCATATAAGGAAATGAGACGCAAGGCGGTTCTCTCGTTCTGGGAGGACGTCATATGACGTCCTCCCACTCTAAGCACACGTGCGGCTCCAAGGGCATGTAGCTATCGGTGGGGCGCTGTGTCCCTTGGACACAGCGGATCACGATCAACGGAAAGAGCCAAAAGACATCGGCTTGGTCATGTGATCAGCTGTGTCCAATCACAGCTGATCGCATGTAAATAGGGAACTGCCGGTTATCGGCATTTCTTGCCACACGAGCTGTCATGCTGAAAGCTTGTGAGGAGAGGACAGCCGGTAAGCGGCATTCCTCCAAGGGGATATCTACACTGATCATCAGAGCACTGATGATCAGTGTAGTCCCAGCAGTGCCACCTGCCAGTGCACATCAATGCCACATATCAGTGCCGCCCAATTTGCGCACAACAGTGAAGGAGAAAAATCACTTTACAAAATTTTAAACAAAAACTAAGAAAAAAAAAAACTTTTTTTTTTCCCTCAAAGTCTTCAGTTGTTTTTGGTTTATTTAGCAAAAAAAATAAAAAAATAAAAATTTAATTTGGGTACAGTGTTGCATGACCGCGCAATTGTCATTCAAAGTGAGACAGCGCTGAAAGTTGGCCTGGGCAAGAAGTGCCCTGTAGGCAAGTGGTTAAAGGTGAGACTGGAGTTTCCCTTTAAGCCAGCGGTTCTCAACCTGGGGGTCGCGACCCCTTTGGGGGTCGAACGACGCTTCCACAGGGGTCGCCTAAGACCATCGGAAAACACATATTTCCGATGGTCTTAGGAACCGAGACACCGCTCCTCGCCGCCGCCGCCACCGCCGTCTCCAGGTGTGGGCGGGATGACATGCCGCCCCTGTCATCTGGACACACCTTGAGATCAATCCTCGCCTGTGATTGGCCGCCGGCACTGTAGCTCAGGAGAGGCACACAGGCGGCCAATCACCGGCAAAGAGGTGGAGCTTGGAGAGGAGGAGCCGAGCGGCACCGCGAAGATCGAGCGAGTGAAGAGGAGGAGAGCGGCCGGAGAAGGAAGACATCTGACAGGTAAGTGTTGGTACCATGGGAGAGGGGAGGGAGCGAGCGAGCCCAGGCTGGAGCAGGGATCTGCAAGGTAAGTATCATTGGTGTCAGTGGGAATAGTGCCCCATCATTGGTGTCACTGACACCAACGACGGGGGCACTATTCCTCCCACTGACACCAACGACGGGGGCACTATTCCTCCCCACTGACACCAACGAAGGGGGCACTATTCCTCCCACTGACACCAACGAAGGGGGCACTATTCCTCCCACTGACACCAACGAAGGGGGCACTATTCCTCCCACTGACACCAACGAAGGGGGCACTATTCCTCCCACTGACACCAACGAAGGGGGCACTATTCCTCCCACTGACACCAACGAAGGGGGCACTATTCCTCCCACTGACACCAACGAAGGGGGCACTATTCCTCCCACTGACACCAACGAAGGGGGCACTATTCCTCCCACTGACACCAACGAAGGGGGCACTATTCCTCCCACTGACACCAACGAAGGGGGCACTATTCCTCCCACTGACACCAACGAAGGGGGCACTATTCCTCCCACTGACACCAACGAAGGGGGCACTATTCCTCCCACTGACACCAACGAAGGGGGCACTATTCCTCCCACTGACACCAACGAAGGGGGCACTATTCCTCCCAAGGGGGCTGACACCAACGAAGGGGGCACTATTCCTCCCACTGACACCAACGAAGGGGGCACTATTCCTCCCACTGACACCAACGAAGGGGGCACTATTCCTCCCACTGACACCAACGAAGGGGGCACTATTCTCCCACTGACACCAACGAAGGGGGCACTATTCCTCCCACTGACACCAAACGAAGGGGGCACTATTCCTCCCACTGACACCAAATGAAGGGGGCAACTGACACCAACGAAGGGGGCACTATTCCTCCCACTGACACCAACGAAGGGGGCACTATTCCTCCCACTGACACCAACGAAGGGGGCACTATTCCTCCCACTGACCCAATGAAGGGGGCACACCAACACGAAGGGGGGCACTATTCCTCCCACTGACACCAACGAAGGGGGCACTATTCCTCCCACTGACACCAACGAAGGGGGCACTATTCCTCCCACTGACACCAACGAAGGGGGCACTATTCCTCCCACTGACACCAATGAAGGGGGCACTATTCCTCCCACTGACGGGGCACTATTCCTC